GTCCTGAGATGTGTTCCACTTTGATGGAGATCAAATTCCTCTCTGCCCAGCGGCAGTCTCTCTGTCTCTTTTATTAGAGATCTTGAATGTGTGCCCCCCTGCCTGTTTATGTGGGCCTTTCTGGCTACATTGTCGGTTAGGATGAGGACATGTTGTCCCTGAAGCAGCGGTAGAAATTTGCGGAGGGCCAGATGGGCTGCCCTCAATTCCAGCCAGTTTATGCTGCAAGCTTGTTCTGTCATGGACCAGCGGCCCTGAGCTGTAATGGACTGACAGTGTGCCCCCCATCCAAATAGACTTGCGTCTGTTGTGATAGTCTGTCTGTGAGGGTCCTTGAAAAGACAGCCCTTGTTGATGTTTGTTGTGGTCTACCAGTGAAGCAATATGAGGACCTTTGATGTAACAGTGACTTTGGACATGGCATTGCTCCTTCCTGATCGTTGATACAGGAGCAGAAACCATTGAAGAGTTCTGGCGTGAAGCCGGGCCCAGGGAACAATAGAAATGCATGAGATGATTTTACCTAATGGTTTGGATAATTGGGCCAGGGATACTCGTCAGAGAGTCCTAACCTCTTTTGCCAACTGCCTAATGCTATTCTACCTATCCGGTGAGAGGGATACTCTCCCAGCCACTGTATCAATGATGGCTCTCAAATGCAGGAGGCGAGTTGATGGTGTCAAATGACTCTTGGCCCAATTTATTGAAAAAACATGCTGTTGGAGAACCTGTAGGGTGACCTAAATATCTAATTCAGTCTGCTAGCTGGACGATGACAAAATTAATATGTCATAGAGATCAACACTTAGCTGAACTGGCTTACTCCTAAGATGGCCTGCTAACACCGCCAGAACCTTTGTAAAGGTCCGAGGGGCTGAAGCCAGGCCAAATGGAAGAGCTATATACTCGAAGTGGTGGTTATTATAACAGAATCTCAGGAATCTGCTACGTGTGGGTCTGATAGGAATATGTAAATATGCCTCTGTTAAGTCTATTGACGTTAATACATCTCCTTGTCTGATACCGAGAAGGATTGATTGCAAGGAGCTCATCTTAAATTTCCTGTAAACCAGGAAGCGATTCAGGCGTTTTAAGTCTAGAATTATTCTCCACCCCCCTGAACTTTTGGGGACCACAAATAGATGTGAATAAAATCCTTTCCCTTGTTAATTCAACGACACAGGTTGGATTGCGCAGATCTCCAGAAAATGCTGAATTACGGTCTCCATAAGAGTCCTTTTGGTAGGCTCCCTTGAAACAGGGCACATCATAAAAAAATTCAGGGGTGTGGAGAGGAATTCTAGAGAGTGACCTGATCTTATGGTCTCTTTGATCCAAGCATCTGATATAGTGTATTCCCATTGATCTACAAATAGCCTTAACCGTCCTCCTATGGGAGAGTCGGGAATGATTTTACTTGGGGCAATGAAAGGACTTGTTTTCCTACCCCACAAAATGACCTTTTGTTTTACCCCCCTCCTATTTCTATTCCCGAAGTCAGATCTTTCTGCCTGCTGTCTTTGTCTATATCCAAAGGGCCTTTGTGCTCTTTGCAAATAGGATCCTTGATAGAAGGGATGAAAGGAACCCCTCCAAAAAGACTGGGAAGGTCTACTGTCAGTCTTGTGAAAAAGGGAGGGGAGGATCTTTTTCTTATTTGAGATTCCATCAGGAGCAGATGCAGATTAGCACCAAACAGTTTGTCCCCTTCAAAGGGGGTGGATGCCAGCTTCCACTTTTGTTTGGTGTCCGCTTGCCAATGTCAGAGCCAGAGTAGGAATCTTGCAGTGATTTGGGATGCTATGGTTCTTGAGGAGAATTTTACCAAAATAAATGTTGCATCTGCAGAAAATTCTGCAGCAGCCATCAAATTGGCTATGCCCTGATGCACCCTGGTGTTTGATGAAGGAATGGATCTCAGGTGACGGGGCCATCTTAGGGAAGATCTGTTAAAGAATAAGGCGGCTGTAGCTGTGTTAGGAATATTAGTCACCTAACAGGTATTTGGGTTAGAAATATATAAACCAGGATAGACATTTTAATACTGTCTCTTTAAGGGAATGCAAGAGCATGCAATTGGGTGTGGTTTCTCAAACGGCCATAAGATGGAGCCAGAAACCTGGGTTGTTTGGTCTTAGTCTCAGAAGAGAGTGTGAGTTTCCTTCTGTTGGAAAGTATTGCCGTTCTTCCATTTTTCCTAATTGACTGATATTCTGGATTTGATGTAAGTCTGATACTGAACTGTTTTTGACACTGGACTTTGTTACTGGATTGTCCCTGGATTGAAACCTGACTGATTTACCTGTGAATGACTTTTGGACTGCTTGTTTTTGAACTTTGCTTAAACCTTTCTGGAAGTAAAAACCTACATTTACTGTACAGTGTATCTGTGTGCTGTGTATGTGTATTATTCAAACACTACTCTCAAATACGTCTTCCTGTATGCACTCATTCTCCTAACGGGGAATTACCTCAACAAGCTGCTCTGATGGCTCATGCGTCTGCTTGATGGGCCCTGCAAAGTGCTAATTCTGCTCTTTTGTCCTCTGATTTGAGAGTTTCCTCCGCTTCACTAGGTATAGTGGAGGAAGATGCTAGAACTACCACAAGTTCATCTACGTTGGGGGCTAGCAGGGAGTTAGAAAATTCTGGCGCTAGATTGAAAAACCTTTTGTCATATCCCATTGGATTGGGATAATGTGGTCCACTGTTTTTGAACTAAATCAGTGAACATCTATGGGACTGGTATGACCTCCTCTTCAGTGACAGGCTGTGAGAATATTAAGTTCATCTGACTCCTCCTGCACTGAGGGCGGTTAGGAGGTAGAGATTGGATTGTCAAGGCGTGCAGTGTTTTTTGCCTTGAATAATAAAGACTTAAATAGGTGAGGGCGGAACAGCCCTGTGAATGTGGATTGATCAAAGGCTAAACCCTCATCTTCTGACATATCCTTTTCTAGGTGTTCTACCACGGACAAAGACTAATCATTGTCTTGAGAGGACACTGACACAATTTGTTCCAACTCAACTATTTGGTCCTCCCTGTATTGCATGACCTGATCGGGCATGTGAGGTATTGGAAGATCCCCCCCCCCCCCCCCCGTAGCAACTGAAGATCAACTGAAGGTCAGGGGCTGCTTGACGTCGCCTTGCCAGGAAGGTTTGTTGCACCCCTGCTGCAATACCTTATTTAATAGGTATCCAAACCATCCAAACTCTCATCTGTGCAGAAATTTCTTGTGGAAGAGCTTCCGCTGTGCAAAGTCCTGCTGCTGTGGGGGTGAATCTAGCCTCAGGGACCCTCCGTGGTGCAGGTATTGCAGTTGAAGTGTCTGCTTGGTCTGGCAAGTTGTTGCTGCCCCTGGATTGCATTGACAGATCCAGGGGAGGAGCTGGAGTGGAGTTTTGGGCAGGGGTGGCTCTAGGGCAGGGGTGGCTCTAGGAGATGTTGTTTGTTTGTTCTTTTCTGCCTCACAAAGGCACTTTTTCAGATGTTTTTCTATTGCCCTTTGGCATCTCTTGGCGTGTTGCTCAGCTGCCTTGGAAGGCTTCCTTGAACCCGTTGTTTTGTTCTGGGTTCTGGTCATGGCCCTCCTGGCTGCCGCTCTAGAGCTTGAGGCAGTGGAACCGATAGAACTGCCACTTGCCATTGCACCCCCAGGATACAGGAGCTGTTATATAATGAGGCTTATATTAAGAGGCAGTTGGCACGCCTAGGGGGCTGCTCCAGGAATGGGCAGGGATCCCTCCAATGTAAATGATTTAACCCCTTTTTAAAAATTATTATTATTATTGTTGTTGTTGTTATTATTATATGCCAAATGAAATAAAATTGAAACTCATTTTAGATACACCTTGATTGCCCAGAGTAGTTCAACTGTATGACACTGGGCCTGGAACAGCTTTAGTTACAAGCGGTCACAGGCCTGGGTGCTAGCTGCTGTTCTACTGATTCGATTTGAATGTGAGGGTTTGCCAACTAATTGTTTCAGCAAACTTTTAGTTTTTGTGATTCGTTGCTGAAACCCCTGCAAGATCAGCCCTGTTAAGGTTTATCTCCTCACACCAGCCTATTTAATTAGGCTAAGCACTGAATGCCTCTTAAAAGCATTTCAAGTTTGCCGAGGGCAATTGCAATTATCAGCTACTTAACAAAATGGCACCAGCCATTATTTTTGGCACACAACAGTTCAATAAGCAGAAATAAACCCCAGAAAGAGCTCAGGAATTAGAAGACTCTAAATCACTGTGCTGGTTAGGGGTGATAGAGCTGATACCTACCCCTTTAATTGAGGTGTTTTAAAAGGGGGATAAACCTCTGGCTGTTTTTGCCTTTTATTCTTAGGCCCGATCACGAGCCTGCGCTCATTGCGCCACAACGACCCTTTGCTTGTAGCCTGGCAGCCTGTCAACTTGAAATAAGCCTTATTTTGAATAAAACAGGCACTTTGGTCTATTTTGGTGACCCTGGCCCTAGATTGAAGTGCAAAATTCGAGCCTGCACTCGGAACATCGTTCCAGCCCTCGCTGAGGACTTGAGAGCTCCAACAGCCAACTAGTGTTAAAACAGCATCAGGAGCTCTCAATAGGTCTGAAAGGAAGCGAGACGATCATAGGCAGCCAGGGGCTGCATTCTGACCTTTTTAATAGTTTTTTCTTTCTTTCTTTTGTTTTCTCAATCTCTTTCCTAAATTCCAGCCAAGGGAAGTTCCTGCCTTGTTCGAACGAAGGCTGAGCAAAAACTGGGGACATTAAAGAGGAGCGTCAAGGAGGAGTGTTCTCTGAAATCAATTCAGTCTATTGATCAAGAGACAGAAGCACCTCCCATGCCTGGAAGCTCATCTGGAGAATGCTGTGTTTCCTTGCTATAAAGACCCCAATTTTCATACCTGACAGACTGCTGGAAATATTTTTTGTGTTAACTCTTAACTGGCATTCGCTGTATTAAAAGTTCACCAGACATTTAGAAAGTTATATCAAATAAAGATAAACATTCTTACTCTGCTATATCAAGATATCCACAGGAAGCAGCCGCATGTAGAGGTATCCAGCCTTCATTGTCAGGTTGATTAATGCTGGCTCCATTTTCCACAAGAAATTTCACCATATCTATGTTATCATCTATGCAAGCCTATAAACAGAGAAAAACGATTAGAGCTGTACAAGAGATTTGCCAAATATCAGTCTAAAAACAGAGAAAAAGAAGTTTTGTCTGTCACCAAAGAAGCAAAATAAGCAGTCCTTTACATATATAGCATATTGATGCATGATGCATGAATTCATCTATGCTTCCTTTATTTGTCTTGATTTAAAAAAAAAAAAAAATCCTTGCTAATTCCAGTTCAGTTTGAAACCTGCTACTTATTTTTATATATAATTGACTGGTAATTTCTATGTTAACTTGATAGCAACTTTAGAAATTTTAAATATCCTGGAAACAGTCTCCACTTTGTAATATACATGAGAGAGGAAGATTAAATTATCTAAAATCAAACATAAGTAAACTTTATTCAAATTATCCATTATGTCTTTTCTCCTAATAACCTTCACTCTTTGACAAGTCTCCAAGAAATAAAAACCAGATTCTATAACTAGTTTGTATTTTTATTTATTTAAAACCTCATCTCACTATCTAAGTAACTCTGGGCAATTTACAGATTTTAAAAGAAAGACATTCAAGTTTAAACTATCACTGAGTAAGAGAAAGTAACACATACTAAAGGACATCATACCAAATCAGTGGCACCCAAGGAAAATAATAAATCTGTGTTCTGAGTCAATTTTCCTTTAGGGAATTTAAATCAAATTTAAATTTTAAAGTTAATTAAAAAAAACTTAACCAGCTTTTAAATTTGAATTAGATAATACAATTTAAGATGTTGTCTTGTCTTATAATTTCATCTCTGAAAACCTTCTATATATGCACCAATGTATTCAGCAAATTCTGAAATTCTATTTTATTTTTTTCCCGTTATTATAGAAAGAAGATCAAAAAGATGGGTGTTTGGCAAGTACTCCATCCTATTTTCTAAATTGCTCCAAATCTAAAAAGATTACCAGCTTTCAATGGATTTGGCATCTTTGATCTTTTTTTGTGTAAAACAAAACTAATAGTTTTGTAGATTTCAGCACAGATATTTAAATATTTAATGTTAGGGGTCTGTGCCCAGACCCTGGTCAACACAATTCTCCAACAATAGCTGCATGTTCCAACTTCTAATGTTGGCATTTTCACTGTACTGTGAAATGCACTGAGACAGACAGATAAACAGGCAAGCAGGCAGACACAGACTTCACAAAGGAATTCTTTAAAATAACAGACTTACGGTTATCAAAATTAATTCCTGCAAAATACATAGCTTAAAAACACACCATATGAAATTATTTGTTCTTTCGCCCTTCAGGTAAGTAGGTATCCAACAATGCTGCATGTTATACTGTTATCTTCTAATTGTAATGCCTTTCGCCCCCCCCCCCCACCAAAAAAAACAGCCTAAATCAAACGCACACAAATGAATCTATTGCCTCTAGCAATCTCAATACCTGATTTAGGGAATAAGCAATTCTTTTGAAATAATGACAAAAACTGCTTCTGAAGAAACTCTATACAATTAATTTATTCAAAGAAAAAAAGGCATCAATTTTTGCAATTATGCCCCCAAAGTACATTTTGATAGATAGGCAACTATTTAAATTTGTTTTATAAATATTTCATATTTATTGCCAAATTTTGTTAAAATCATTAAGCTACAGCTTTAAAATTAAGTCATAAGGCTCCTTGCCTTTAAACCATCAATTCAAGATTCAAAATAAACTATAATTTTTAATAACCAGAGTTAATAATCCATAGTTTGTATTTCACACAACTGACAAGTAATTCTTTAGAGCAGTTTCCCTAATTTTGTTTTCCATTTGTTTGCTTTAAAAGTCTCTAAAAATACCTTTATCATCATAGCCCAGAAATATAGTCTGACAATACTTAGCCTTGCAAATCAAAAGATGCAATCTCATTTCAAACACAATTTTCTGGTTTGTTTGGATAATGAAAAACCATGAAGTAATTCTAATCATATCATATAACAAACATGATTTGTATGATGTTCAAATTAAGCTTAGACTTCAGGTACTCTGTACACATAGTCCTCAACTTACAATCATTCACTTAATCTATTTGAAGCTACAAAGGCATTCAAAAATGATTTATTATCTTTTTTGCACACTTTTCACACTTACAATCATTGCAGCATCCTCATGATGATGTGATCAAAATTTGGACACGTGGCAACTGGCATATATTTATGAGGGTTGCTGTGTCTCAAGGTCACGTGATCACCTTTTGCAACCTTCTCACTGAAGTCAGTGAATGGGTGAGTGGAGGGCCAGCTTAACTTAATAGACTAGAATTCTTTATTGGCCAAGTGTGATTGGACACAGAAGGAATTTGTCTTGGTGCATATGCTCTCAGTGTACATAAAAGAAAAGATACAATCATCAAGAATCATAAGATACGTTACTTAATAATAGTCACAGTGTACAATAAGCAATCAAATCATACTAGGAAGCAGTCAATCAAAATCTTTAGGATACAAGCAACAAGGTTACAGTTATACAGTCATAAGTTAACGATCATGTTACTAACAACTGGAGTGATTCATTTAACAACTATGGCAAGAGCGGCCGTAAAAAGGAGGAAAACTCCCTTAACTGTCTTGCTTAAGCAACAGAAATTTTGGGTTCAATTGTGGCCGTAAGTTAAGGTCTACCTGTGTGTACAGGTAGAAACAAAACTAGAAACATACTTTTAAAGTGGTTCAAAAAAATCAAGAGATTACATCTATTTAGAACAAAATATACTATGGTTTTTGCTATAAGAAGCAACTGAGTAAATGTCAAAAAAAAAATCCTATTAGAACACCTGAATTTTATATGGGCTTGATCAGAGTCTTTTAATTGATGGCTGGTGTGTACAGACTATTATTTAACATCATTTTGAATGTGATTGGTTAATTCTGAGTACAAGCATATCCCTAATTATAAGAGGGTGTGCATACTTATACAGCCACATTATTTTAAGTTTTTAATTGTTATTTTACCTTAAAAGATTTGTTTTTCAATTGAATTGTACTTCTTATATGTTATGTAAAAGATGGAAATTTTTTTGAAGTAGTTTATTTTGGTTTGACATTTTTACATCTAAAAAACAGCATTTTAATAGGGATGTATAGAGTGTGTAGGGTGTGTTTATATTATCCATTATAAGCAGAATATTAACTTTTTAAAGGAAGACAAATCTCATTTCACATTATATTGTATTTCAAACTAGAATCCTGATTTAAAGCAATTTTTACTCAATTTCTAAATACTGTACATCCCACATCAAGTAATATGTTGAGAGTCTAATTTGTTTAATCAACATTGTTTATTTTAAATCCTGAAATATTCTGAAAATTAAATTAAAAATTCTGAAGAGGGGGAGAAGAATGGGAACGCAGGAGTGTAGTGTTTTACTAGGCTTACATAACTTTCCACTAAGCAATGACTTAGTTCCATATGAATATAAATGGTCATATAAATGGCTATTGGCAGGCCAAAATCACAAAGTTGGAATTGAGATAATTGGATTAAAAGTCTCCATGCAAAGTGATGTCATTTTCCAAAACTTGGTACTGTGCAGAAACTTTGATACACAACAGTATTATGCATTTAATATGTATGTGCAATCACAAATTTTTCTATGTATCTTTATGCCTACATTTTAAATTCTAGAATGCTGCAGTTCTAATGCAGAAGATTAGCAAACAGATATTATATGGTTAAAAGCAACTGTAATTTCTCTCACTTTGGATGGGTGCCTTCAGTTCACTGCAGTGCAAACTAAGTTGACCATATAAGGCTCTGGGATTCCCATGTAAAATGCTCAAATACATTAACTCTATATTTGCTGAAACAAAGTTAGCTTCAAGTGTCTACCTATTAGCACAAAAATGTACAGTACGAAAATAATATAATTTAAAATTTTTCAATTTAAAGAACATTTGGAAGTGATCAAAGATGTATAGGGAGCATTAGATTTGAAAGTAGAGGAACCCTGTTTAATATTATAACAGCAGTAGCAGTTTTATCATATTTTGTGTTCGTTCACTGATGTAGAATTATATTAATTTAAGGCTTTCTACAGTAAGAATAACTATGAAAGAGAGGTCCATACAGGAAAGGAAAACAGAACTAATCTGCTTAATGCAAAGAACAGGGGACCTGCGGATCTAAGTCATACAATTTTTCAAACCCTATTACAAGCATTCAGTTCAGACCTCAGCTAAAGTTATCTATCTCCCTTGATACCAAATGCTTAGGAGAAAGAAAGGAGGATTTGAGATTTAAAAAAAACTCAATCCCACTTACCGCTTGTTTCAACCTACATATTATCTCTACCACAAGTTAAATAGGTACAAAAAATAGAAAAAAATTGTCTATCACTGACTGTTATTGAATCCTTATGTATACTCTCTCAGAAGTTTCTTAAAATTGAGGCAGGAAATTATAAAGTTGCAATAATTGAGAAAGTATAATGTTCAAAAATTCTGAAGAGCACTGAATAAATAGAAACTTCTTTCAAAAAAAGTAATGATTGCCTTGAACTTTAGAATCCTATATTCTTACTAAACATAATCATAACAAAAGTAAGTCTCATGTCACTTAACAGATGACATACGTATTAAGCCTGTGCTGTACATTACTCCTATTTGGGGAAGTTACATAGTTGAATTGAAAGAGCAATTCAATTTAATGCTTGACTCAAAAAAGTGAGGCACTCCACCTCCAACAGCACCAATCAAAGTACTGATGCAGGTCACTTCTCTTCCGTGGCTCCTTAACTGGATGTGGTGTTGGCTTCTGCAAACATGAATGTATGAGAAAAAAAATAGTAAAAACTTGAAAATAACTGCTTGAATATGTTTGGTTACACCAAGCTATTGGCAAATATCAGACACTTCAACATTTTACAGAACAACCTCAAAAGACACTGAGATCAAGGCTTCAATCAAATACTCCCCCAAGATTGCACTCAATTGTATTTATGTCATATGTGTACTCCATTCGATTCAATGAAATTTGTTGGGATCCCCTCCC